TCTTTTTGGCCAATGTTTAATGAAACTTAGAAGTCTTTGAGCTGGTCTTCCCTGACATCGACCACGGGCTCCATCTTGGTTTCTTCTGCAGCCAAAAGCTGTCTTCGGTAGCGATCGGATCCGAGGATGGAGCTGTTCTGGTACAGTTCATCGACTTGCTCAAGTGACAATCCTTTAGTCTCCGGGATGCTACGAGATTGAACCCAAGGAATCAGAATAGTTAGTAATGGGTTCGTTTTCTAGCAAGGAAGTGGATTAAACTCACAAGAAAAAGGTGAAGAGGAAACAGATTGCGCAGCATGAACCCCAGATCCAAAAGACGTTTGCACCTAGCCCGGCTTTGCCTGGTCCAACATCAACGAGGTAAGGTGTGGCATATCCAATTGCGAAGTTCCTGTTGGGAGAGACAGGGTTGACTCAGGATCCGGTCAAAGGTCTAACGATGGCCAGAGATCACTCACAAAGCCCAGTTTGAGGCTGTCGAGAGAGACATTGCCTTGGCCCGAATGCCCAATGGGTAGATCTCCCCCGTCACGACCCAAGCGATTGGTCCCTAAATCATGTTTTGTTTCAGAATGATGTGCAGCAGAAGAACGATGTGAGAAGCACTGACCCATGTGGCAGCAAAGCCAGCGATGTAAATGCACACCAACGCGATCAAAGCACGTTGACCGGAGATGTTGGAGGCAGGCAGAGTGAGACCGAGGATGGGGATGATAAACTGACAGACACACATAACAGCCTGTGTGGGGATGAAGGATAGTCTTCAGCAGAGGTTCAAACAAGGCAACGGACGAGAAATTGTGAAAACTCAACTGCTCCGCCGAGGAGAAGCGGTCGTCGGCCAGATCTATCGACTGCCCAAATACCAGGTATGGTTGTAACAACATTCACCTGGTGCAAGACGTTGGAGTTAGGATTATTGTTGATATGATTGGTATAGAAATGTAGAAAGTACATACGAGGTTAATAATGATTGTGATCGTGAATGCGTTTTGGATTCCGCTGTTCTTGAAAAACCTGGATGTCGCATCAAATTTCAAGAGTGACGATTGGGTCTCAGGCTCAGCACGGTTATCTTTGAGAGAGTGTAGACGGCTTACGAGGTTCCATAATACTGATCGGGGACAAGATTTCAGTCAATTAGCACTACTTAAAAGACATTCTAAGAAGTAGAATGCGCACAATGATGAAGTTGATTCTATATTGACAATCAAAATCAAAGCAATCAATAGCACATTCAGGCATGTGTAATACAGGCGAGAACAAACCCAGTGAGCTGTTGAAGGGCCTGAATTGCCATCCCGGTTAGAGTCCTCAACCGATAGCGCCCTTTTCCGGTTTTGAAGCAATCGGCATAAGATCCGGCGCCGATCTCACGCTCGATCATGAGCGCGTCATTGACTTCGTCGTACTCTCGCGAGACTTGTTCGGAGTCAATGGGCAATGAGAGTAAGCGACCAAGTGAGGACCGGGCCTCCTTCTCGCGACCTTTGAGGATCAGGTATTTCGGAGACTCGGGGAGACAGTAGAGTCCGAAAGAGAGGATGAAGGCCCAGATGAACTAATAGGAGCCGCGTGTCCGCACATCAGTCACTGAGACTTTCACAATGAATGGGATGGGACTCAACCTGAAGAGCAATGGGAATTCGGTAGCAGGAATGATTCGGCATGTCCTTAGTTGCATTCACTACCACAGCCGCAATTAACAACCCGATTGTGATGGCCCATTGCTGAATAAAGACAAATGCCGAAGGTAAGTCTAGAGAACGAGAAAAAAGAATCATAAAGAAAATATTAAGGTAAAAAGTCACATACGTAACAAGCCACGACGGCGCCTCGAATCCATTTTCTGTTTATTGTTCAACACATTAACATTCGATCAGGCGGTGGTATGAAGCACGGATGAGTGAGGAATAAGACTAACGGGGCACATTCAGATTGATACATCGGCACCAAACACGAGGTCAGACCGACACCCAATCCCGCAAACACTCGTCCGACGGCAAAGACGGGTACGGTGGTAGAAACGGTCTGTAAGATCACACCGATACAAAAAACTCCACAAGACGCGATCACACCCCACCGTCTTCCGACTGCAAATCATAACTCAACACCTGGGTGAGACAGATGTACGAGCAGAGGGGATGAACTTACGAATGTCTCCGAAGGGGTAAGCTAGTAATGCACCGACGAAGGTTCCGACAGACAAAATCGCGGTAACGAGCGAGTCATTTGCAGTCGAAAGGACAAAGCCACCTTTGCCGTCCGGATCTCCGAAGAGTTTGAGCCTAAGCAATACCAGGAGTAAAAAGATTGTGGACGTTAGTAGGGGCTCTCTCCAAACTCTGATCATGTATACTATTCGATTTGCTTCAGCAACATCCTCCTATCATTAAATATGAATATTGCTCTACTTCTAATTAATCGCAAATCAAAAAAAAAAAAAAAAAACTTGCCAAAATTCCATCTCTTTGGTTCCGGCGATGTAACCCTTGAATCAGATAGGCCGACGAAGTAAATGAGACCCATTGAAGGACGAAAGCTAATTAGACTTTCGAAAAACTTACCGTGTCATAACCATAAAGAAAACTATACAATCAATTACGGGAAAACCAAAATGTATTGGTACGATGATCAGTCAATAGTTGTGGGGTAAAGATAATATAATGATAAGATGACCAACCCGCCGAAAGCGGCAAAGAGGGCCATAGAGATTCCTACTAGTTTGGCCTTGGTCGAAGCCGGCGGTAGGACAGGGAGGTCCCCTCGCTTTCCCATATCCATTGCTACCATTTCAGGTCAAAGGTGATAAATCTATGAGAGTTGGAGAAGTGTGATGGAGAGTATCTAAGCTAATGGTAATCTTGGACTCTTTCTTTTCCTTGTTTGTTAGAGCTATGGGCAAGGGAAGGATGGGATCTAAGCGTTAGAATGACCTGATTTTAAATGAGTTTTGAAACGCCGACTATCTGTCTTAGTTGGATGTCCCCGGTAGATTGGTGATGGAGCGTGATGGGAAATGGTTATGGTGACCTCTCACCTCACTCACACCGTCGGTCAGAAGTGGTCAGCTGATCCAACTTGATCTCGACCACAAAGTTCAGAGCGTTGTCAATTCGACCGGGCGGGGAGAGTGCTGATCGACCTCGGTCTTACTTTATACTCTAATGTATGTCCTGTTCCTCGATATCCTCACCCATTCGCCCGGGTAAAGATTGTCGAGAAACTGAACTTTTTTGCATTTCATACCCAATCGCTCGGTTTTTTTTTTTTTTTTTTTTTATTTTCCCTGTGCACTCGCGTGATACCAACTTAATCTCGATCGCCCTGAGCCTGTGAGACGGGGTGGATCACTTATTCAACGAGTGCGGGGTTCAAACGACCCGGTGAATCTTAACTTTCTTTTGGTGTTAAAGCGTCGAAAGTTCGTACCATCAAATTAAGTATCAACAGCACGCGCACAGGAAGAGTTAGATAGCTGTGATGAACTAGAGCAGATACTCTCAAACCCGTGACTAATAGACCAAACGACTGCCGACCGTAGTGGCGTGATCGTGTGAAGATTGATAAGCCGAACCCGACCGGACCTAGTCTAACACCGGGATTTGGAGAAGATTGGAGGGACCGGAATGACCGCAAGAGGATGAGATTGGCAGATGGAAGATGAAACAGAGTTTGATTGTCTGGATTATTGAAATTCTGACGTTGGCTTATTATATACACTGTGGGCAATAATTAATAACACATGACCCATCGAGTGTCTTATGACTCGCGGTTGGTGTCCCGATTAACAAAGTGGAACAGATGTGCCGCATTTTCGTCGAAGTGAAATGATACGGTGACTAACTTCCCTGAAACTGACATACCCTAATGGCACGATGCGCATTTCAGGAAGCCAGCTTTCAACAAGCGACGGGAGAAGTATATACTTCACCCATCCCGGAAGCCCTCGAGCGTCCTCATCCACTCTCCAACTCAGTCGTCCACATTCCCATTGCTACTCTCATACACTACAGTTCAGGCCTCGCTTCTCACCTATCATTTCTCTCGAAACTTTAGAAGTAAGACAGTTAAAAAGAATAAGAAGCACTTATTACATGGGCGCTCATCAAATTTCACTGTACGAGCGGCATATCGCAGATAATCTATCCTTATTGCTCGAGTCCTATGGCAGACCAATCCTCTTAAGACAGCAATTGAGAGTTATCTGCTGAAGCAAAGCTCATCGCGGAGATTGTGGCAGAGAATAGGAAACATGGCCTATCATGAGCAGTCATCCTAGCAGACCACCAGAATTTCCCTACATCCTCATCAGACCCCTGTTACAAAACCAATACATCAACCTTACTAAAATTTATAAGGCTGATCTTAACATTAAAGAGGTTCCTAAAGACAACAAGTCCACTAACAGCAGTAACAGGTCAAAGTCCATACCATTCAAGAATGCAAATGCCTGGAAGAATGTTTTATCAGTCCTGGGAAAGCCAGCAAAAATACTTCAAACATGTTAAAGAGACAGAGTCCTCTTTTGAGGAAAATGGAGACTGAAGAGGTGCAGTTAAATATGCTGCCAACCTGTGAATGGCTTTTGCATATCATCCATATTTCTCCTTTGCCAACTTCATGCACAATGACCTGGCTAACACAAGGAACACAGCTCTCAAGAGCTTTAGAGAATCAAGGGACCAGTATCCCTCTAATCACAATCCCAGACCTACTGCATTGACATTGAGTCAGTTACTTCACAAGAAACCAGAAGTCAACAAGAAGATCCATACACCTTCTATATGGGCAGGCAAGGTTAAAAACCATAAGCCAATACATGCTCAATACCTCATCTTCTGCCAGGATACATACACTAATATCCCTGCATACCACCATACCACCCTTCACATACAGAAAGGAATACTCCTCACCATCAGCAGATATGCAGTGGCTGGAATCTTGGCAACTGTACTAGCAAGCCTGACTGTTAAGACATAAACTACCAAAAATAGTGACTAGACTCAGATTCAAACCAAGGACCCTTAAGTGGGACACAACTTGTATGTGATGCCTTAACCACTAGGCTATCCAGTCTGTTCTCCAACCCCATACCACCACATCTCATGGTCATGTGTGCTCCAACAAGCTAGTATGAGGTATCCCTAACACTGACAACCCATGTGTCAGAATACACAGCAAATGTAATTTCACAGGATGCTAAGGAGACCACCACCACACCACTCACTGCCAGCATTATATACTGTCCACTAGGGGACAATCAATGATGATTTTCACCCACTTGGAGGAAAATTTTCATTGAGTGTCCCCCCAGACAATTATTGTCCCCTAGTGGACAGTATATAATGCTGGCAGTGACTCACATACACAAGTTATAAGCTAGAGCACCTTGTCAAGCACCTCACATGTCTGGATATGCCTGTTACAAGCAGTCAGGAGCATGTATGATTACACTGCTTCAAGCAGTGCTTGGCTGTCTCTCTTTATCTCCCTCTATCTCTGAGATTCCTCTGCCATTTGGACCTCACACACCCACCTTCACTCACTCTAAGTCCCCCCACTTACTCACCTTTTCCCTCCTTGCCAATCCCACTTATCTTATCCAACTCAACCTCATTCACCCTGGCCCACATTAACTTCACCCACACATCACCCATCTCACTCTCCCCTGCCCTGCCAATGATGTTGCCCCTCATCAGCAGCACCAAATGTGAACCCAATGCCCACCAATATGAGTTGGAAAGTCATCACACCTCCCTTGAGCACCATCAGCCCTTGGAAAGTGTGTACCTTGCTTCCACCAACTGCATACCATCCCTGCCTTGATCAAATCTAACAGTGCTTCTAGAAACCATAAAATATCACAAGATGTACACTACTTCTGCTACCATGGGGTATGAGACCTGAACTACAATTGCCCATATAGCCTCATATTTGTCAAATTTGTGATGGGGTTCAACAAAAAAAAACTCTTTCTTTTCTCATGTCATAGACTTCTTGCTTTTGTCAGCAGCAGTAGCTCATAGAGCATTAAGAGATTCCAGAAATCAATGCAAGAGAGAGAGAGAGAGAGGTTCCAGCAGGCAGATTCAAATCTGACCCTTTGAAGAGGCTGTTTTGAAGAAACTGATTGATAAGACCCCTGAACATAGTTGTTTCTGCCATTGATGTAGAGGATGGGTCTGGAGGTTGGGGCCCCACTGTTTGATGACCATCTGTACTCTCATGTCCAGATCCTCTTCCCCCACTACCCTGACCCTGTCTGTGTTCACAACCACAACTATTCCCTCTGTCCATGTTTGTGACTTCCTCAGTGTGAAAGGGATGTGCAGCTTCAAGTTGGCCAGGCACCATGCTGGAACAATGCTCTCCATTGTCACACAGCTGTCCACATATGGTGATTTCTAGGTCACAATGGAGAGCATTGGTGTCTGATCAGTGTAGGATGCTGGAATTTGGAGGCAATGTCTGCACTGCCAAGAAAATTGCATCGCATAGAGGCATGCTATGTCACATAGCAGGCCAAAATGCGATGCAATAGGTCTATTTTCCAAGGTAGGGACCTTGAAAAATGGTCCATAGTATCACATGAAGACATGCTATGTTACATAGCAAGCTTCCATGCGATGCAAATATCTTGGCAGTGCTGTGGCGCTTGTGGTTAGGTATGAACAGGCCCATGAAAGGGCTCCTACAAAAAAGAGATGAGTTCATTGACTGGTCTTTGAGGATCAGGATTATGAAAGGGAGTGAAAATGAGGTCTGGGTTTTTGGAGAATTGGGTTGATAAAAAAACCTGCCAGCCTGGCCAGTGTGAGAGTTTTGGGGAAACATAATGAAGCTTTATGATGGTGATGGAAAGAGAAGTGGCCTGAACCTCAAGTTTGAGGTGTAAAAAAGTAACTACCTCCTTTAAACAGATATGTTCTATATTTATGAATGTGTATGTATATAGACATGCAAAAATTATTCTTCAATGTTGAGTGTGGCCTGATACAAATGTGATCTAAGTGGGGTTGAGCTACTCTTCAACCCTGATCACTAAAAAAGCATGCTGGCCTGGGTACAATAGAATAAGGGTTAGTGTCAGCCCTGAGGACTGCTCAGAAGTCTCACAGACTGTCAAACACCAGTTACAGAGAGTACTTTAAGAAGTACACATGCAAATACAAGTGTAACACAAAGATTACATATAGTACACCTGTAAACACAAGTGTAACACACAGATTACATATAGTACTAATAAGAATACACATGTAGTATCAAACCTGAGGAATGCTCAACAAACCTCACAGAGTGCCAAACACATATTACAGAAAGTACTGTAATAGTAAAGAGGTGTAAACACCAATGTAACATAAGATTACATATAGTACTAATGAAAGTACATATGTAATCATAAGAGTAAAACAACATTAGGCATATGTACACATATGTAATAATGAATAATCACAGTGCAGCCTCAGTATCAAGAGCCTCAAGTATGTACTTACAACAGGAATAGATACACAACACTGTAATAAGTACTCAACCACAAGTTGGCCAAGAATTGCCCTAGCAACCCTAGCAACCACAAGTTGGCCAAGTGTTGCCATGGAAACCTAAGCAACCACAAGTTGGCCATCAGCCTAATAGTGAGGGATAGTCCTGAGGAAAGGATATATAAACTCTCCCCTCAGGCCAGGAGTTGGTTCATCCCCCCAACGTTTTACCACAACACCTGATATAGCATAATAAGCACAACATCACTGCCAAGATATTTGTATCGGATGGGCCTAT